ACTCCACATTTTCTGGGATTTAGAAGCCTGGAACGAACAATGAGCTCGCCACACCTGTGCGAGTTATTAAATCTTCTTCGCGAAGCTGCTTTATGGACTGTGGAGATTTCTGTGCCGGCCGATTCCTCCAACTCGTAATATTTCACGCGCGACCGGAGTTGGGTGAACTTTCTCAGGATTCGTCGGAACGAATCAACGCCCCGAGAAATCTAGGATCTATTTTGCGACGGCGATTGTCTAGGATTAATATTATATTCAGAAGGGGAATAGATGCGATTCAAAGTGGATCCGTCACCCGACAAGACCAAAGTTTTCTTATTTACCTCGCCAGGCATGCGTTTTCTTTCCGAATAAGCGAGCGGAGTGATCGGACAGGGGACACGAAATTCCACGAACGGAATTACGCAAATCAGACTGCGATGCGAGCATTCGTCCTGCCGTGGCTGAGACTTCTCGCTATCTTTCTCGCGGATCTCGCAGCGCGGTTTAGGTTGGCTCGCTCGCTCGCTCTCCTCAGGATGCAAAGACAGCAGAAGCAACAGCATCGGACTCCGAAGAGACGGTGCCTGCGCGAAATTTGCAAGTCCGGCGAAAGCACGATGCGCGGACGAGACCGCACGGATCTTCTCTCCGAAGCGGACCGAACGAAGGGAAGGTCCAAAGATCCGCCGAGTGGAAAAGAAACAAAAGGAGCAACCAAGGGAACACAAAGGAAAGAAAGGCAGCAGCGAATTGGTCGGCTCACGACGCGAAATACTTCACCCTTGAGCAGAAGGGAACTCTACTTTTACAGTCATTCCGGTTTCGAACGATGGCATGCCTGTACGGTATGCTTATATATATATATAATTCTCTTTGATCCGTCGCGGCCCGGCCCCGACAAATTTTCAACTTTAAATTCGGTCATCGGCGGAATCGGTTGAAATGCGAACGATCCTACCCAGACGGGGAACCAAATTTTATCCGAGGTCGTAACGGCCAGATCGTTCCCCGAATTATATCTCCGTGTATCTTTATAGACACTTTCGAACGACGCCACTAATCCTTGATCTTTATATAGTATCGCCGTTAAATTCGTTAAAGACTAACGACGTGTCGACAGGATAAGATTACTCCGGGCCGCGCCGGTCCTTTTCGAAAACTTGAAATTGTTTTTCCGAGGACGAGACGAACTCCGTGAAACGGCATTGGTTCAACAGTGGTTTTTAGTCGGCCTACGAATTATCCTGGAACACGGAATAACGTTAATATGGAGGAGCCTCTTTCGGAGACCGAGGCCATCGAGAGGAATCGCCATCGTCGTTCGAGTCGACCAATTAGAGAAACCGAAATGGATCGTTAGTAAACACGTCGGTTGTTATCTTCGGAACAACTTTCTTAAGAGGAGAGCGTCGCCTCGCGTCACACCGGGAGGGTTACCGATATATGTATGCTTAAGTACGCGGTGGCTCGATATTTGAAGTGCACATCGTTCGCGGCAACGTTCGCGGAGAATCGATGCACCAAACCGGCACAAAGGGAGCAGAAATCGAGAACAGACCACTCGGTTTCGGCTTCCCTCGGACCTCCGCCGTCTCCGCCACACCACCGTTCCTCCGGGTACCTTCGAAAAGGAGCGCAGAAAAGGGAAAGACGTGGTGCTGGGAGCCCTCAAAGAGAGCAGAGCGGTGATATTTAAAGCGTATGCAAAGAGTGCAGCTCCGTAGCAGCGGCAGCAGCTCTCGCGGCGGAGTGAGCGAGAAAGAGAGAGGCAAAAAGTCTTGGACAATGGCTGCTTGCGTTCGGCTGCCCGGAATCCGACTCGCGACGATTTATGCGACCTCGACGACGACGACGACGACGACGACGACGACGGCCCACCGCCTCCTCCTCTTCCTCCTCCTTTCTCCCCGAGTCTTCTTCTCATCCTACTCTCTTGTCCCGTAAAATTCAACCCTCTCGCTCCATCTTCCGCCCGGCGTTCGCCACACGAAGCGCATTCTCCGGACAAGAATCCCAGGGTACGAAAAGCACGAAACTGTCGATCGAGAAGTATCCGAAATTACACCGTGGAACAATCCGATCGGTAATTCGATTTCGTTGGAAATGTTTCTCCGATTATACATATTCGAATACTTCCGGTCGAGGAATCTTATCAACGGGATTACATTTTTACAATTACATTCTATCGAAAATCGCGACGAATTACGATTCATTCGAAAAATCCCTTCTGTTTCTAGATTTGGGGACGATGAAGGGAGAGAAGCCCAACGGCACTCGAATTCTTCTTATTTCCATTCCCGATCGGGCGCGTTCGCGGTGCGATCGCAGCGAATACCGAACGGCACGGTATTTGGTACAGGCGCTATCGAAACTCCCAGAAAAGTTGGGAGCGGCCGCTCGTTCCACGGATAAGATAAAGCCGGTCGTCTCTAGTCTCGATGATTCTCTTTGCCTCTCTCTCTCTCTCTTACACACACGTACACATACACTCTGCCAGGTATATACCATAAAGTCGGCCGTAAAATGAAACACGTTCCTCACTTTGTCGCCAGGGTTTTATGGAAGGATCGTGCAGTCGTTGGTCCCGTCCGTCCACAGGTCCGAACCGTGCCTGCCGAATAAGGAGTTCGTCTATATACGTTGCTTTTAACGACCTTCTCTTTTTCGACGATCAAATGCTCGTATAACGACCGCGGTGTTTTTCGTATTTCCAGAGAGATGCGTCCCTCGGCCTTATCGGAACAGGTGCTCGTAAAGCGACGGTACCGTCTTCCGGCGCTGGCGCGCCTCGGCCATCTGATAACGCGTTTCGATGGTTCGCAATAAATACGAAATTAATGAAAACCGAGGGAAGTTTGCGAGGCGAAATATCATCGAACGATACGGGTAGATATCCACGCGACGTTTAAACGCGCGATATTTTTACCCGGAACGTATATGCTTCTAGCATAGAGAAATGAATGTCTAAACACAACAGGTCACATAAAATAGCATCGACGACCTGCTACAGGAATAGTCGATGGCTTGCATTCGTTTACAAAGCGAAACACTTTGCACCTGTGCCAACGATCGAGCCCCGTCGGCCTCGTCTGACTTTAATCTGATAATCTGATTGGCTGCTGTGTGTCAAATATTGTGGGCCCGAGTGCCAGGCCTCGATCTTCCGTGCGAACAGGTTCCTCGCGCGGACGCGTGGCCGATTGGGAGCCAGCCGCGGTCCGAAATCATTCGGCCGATCGAATCTATAGAGGAAGAGCGTGTTTAAGCGCGAAACCCGAGACTGTTTCGAAACTGCCATTACCCAGCATCAAGCCGCACTCAAGGCTGCAAACCGACTTCTTGCTCGTATCCTTTCACAAGCGCGTCGTTAAATTCGCCGGTGGAAAAAAGGGCGGAAGGCCGAGGCTCGCGTTAACGTCGTTGCGCGCGCGATTCCCGAGTTCACCCACGTCGCCGCCGCGCCGCGCCGCGGTAATTACGATTTATCTGAGATCGCGATCGCGCCGCGCCGCGAGGAATTCGAGAACGTCATCGGTGTGGCGGTAATGCGGCATAATCTGTGAAAGACGCTCGAACGAGGAAGACATTTCGCGACAACCAACGCCGAATCGGAGGTCCTTGCGTCGAAAGTGGTCAGGATACTTTTTAACCTCGAATAGCCTACGTTTCCCTGGCCCTCTTCGCTCGATCGCTTTTTCTCGCGATCGCGCATAAAAAACCGCGAAGGCAAAGAGAAGGACGGAGACTTCGGGAAAAAAAGAGATCCGTCCGTCTCGAAGAGTAACGGAGAAAGAAGAAACAAGAGCGAAAGAGAGAGGCACCGCGTCGCTCGACGTACCTGGAACACACTCGAGGTTCGCGCATTGATATGCAACAGGCTGTATATGCGGACCATGGCGGTCGAACAATACGACCACCGGTAAGGCACCACCGTGTAAACTATCGACCATTCTCGAGCCTATAACGTACCGAACCGTGCCGGTCGATACGCCACGAGACACTTTACACGGTGCATCGGGTATATGGCGCGGTGAGCGCAAGTCGTGACGCGCCGTATCTTGCATCGGATGTACCACCAGTGTGGAAACACGGATACGTACCTCTCCCGCCTTTGCCGTTCTCCTCCCGCTCCCAACCCTCCGCGCGAGTTGGACCGCGACCGCGGCCAAGACCGCGCCAACCCACCCACCCGTTCGCGACCTTACCCTCCTTCGTATCCTCTCCACCTATTCGTTTCCTTCACCGTCTTCTTCTACCTTCTCCTTTTTCTCCATCTACCCCGATCGTCTCTTTCGCTACTTCTTGAATTCTGTTTCTTTGACCCCACGTGTTGCCCACCTGTTTTTACCCTTGACCACGACCTCCCCCCCTTGGCTCGTTCGCGTAACGATAATCATGGTCCCGAAGCGACAAGGGATGAGCCTCGATATGCACGCTCGCGACTCGGCAAGTTTCGCGAAATGTTCGAGGCTAGCTGCCCGTCGAAACGGATACCGCGTTCCTCGGAGGCATCGCGCACAATAGACTCCCTCGTATGATTTACATGCCGCCGGTTCCCCCTTGGACAGAAGAAAGAGGGATACAGGATGCTCGGTCCGAAGCCTGGCTGCCTCTCCTCGTACGATTGCGCGCGAGCGCACATTCTGTTCGTAGGATCGCTCGACGTACTAGCACGTACACCAACACGTGGCCGTTTGCTACGTCGCGCGGTTGCCGCCGTTTTCTCGTGACGCGACTATGCTAACGCGGTAACCGCGCGCGTGGAATACGTTTTCGATGCATTCGCCGGTTGCCGACCGGCGACCGTACCCCTATTTACCTTGCTTTCGAACCCCATCGATACCGAGCCTGGTATACATACATGTATGTACATATATGCGCGGGAATATTCGCGCAATTTCCGGCCAGAAGTTGACGTAACAACGGCGACGAAAAAACGCAAACATTCTTCGGAGACGGAGAAATTTCGTCGGTCATGAAACACTGGTCTACGAGCAAGAAAACTTTTAAACACGTACCTGGTGACAAAGATGACGCTGTCCCTTCCTTTACTCCACCCACGAGACTGTTCTGGGGTGTAGTTTCTTTAACCGTGAGAGTGTATCGCGGTTTTTCGCAACTAGCGATTCTGTGACCAGGGGAGGAAACGGTGATCCGAACTTCGACGTCGACGATGCTCTTGAGACCAGCCGCGTCCGTTGCCGTCACGTTCAACTGATGCAAAGACGAGCGAGACAGCAAGCTGGGCCTCGCTACTTGTAGCTCGCCGGTGTTTCGATCGATGTGAAACACTCCGGCTTCGTTGCCGTTCGTGATTCGATAGGCAACTTGGCCGAAGAGACCTGCGTCCAAATCTGTGGCCACCAGCCTCAAAATCGGCCCTTGTACCGGGCTGTCGCTCTTCAGGGTGACGTTATACTTTTGAGGTTCGAAGACTGGACGATTGTCGTTGACATCTGTTACTTGCACCCTCACGATAGCCACGGTACTCAATCCTCCTGCAACAAAACAATCGATAGATTAGGTTTTATAAACGACAAGACGATACATATATACATGTACAGTCACCAGGTAGTGAAATAAGTGTTAAATCGAATGCTAATTTGGCACACATTTCAGTAATTCCAAATACCAAATGGTAGGATGCCCTTTCTCTATGTTACTTTTTCCCCTAGTAGAAGCCGACTTTGCTCGTGGGTGTGCGTGTATATGTATATGTATAGAACTTGACACGCGTTTCGTGCGGAGACCAGAAGTGCAAACCGGCGCGGCGACACAGCAGTGCGATTATGTTTATTTCATTCTCGAGCGAAATCCTCTTATCGAACCAAATAGTGTCGGTGAATTAACCGGCGTAGAGAACGAATCTACGGGGTCTCTCGAAGCTGGTCGACATAAATCTCCAGCGTCTCGTACCGTTGCCTTTTTTCGGAGCCAATCAACCTCTTACCACCATTCAACGTCGTTCTCTCTCCCTTTCTACCCCTCTCTGTTCTTCTTCTTTCGCCCACATTAAAGTTCATTCCTTCCGTTTTTCTCTTTTCGCTTAAAGTCCCTTGATTTCGATTTCTCGCACACATTAATTCGAGGATCTAGCACGCAAATATCCTGTGCCAAGGTGCCAATATTAACAGTTCGTTCTAGGTTCGTAATTGTATTTGTTCCTTCGCGTACCATCCTCTACTTAAATAAACACACTAGCCGATCCCATAGTTCTTCTTTCTTTTCCAGACGTTCCACTTTTCGTGCAATCACACTCCTGGAGCATATAGCGAGCACAGTCGCTCTGTTGTTCGTCGAACGGGATCAAAAAGAATGGAAAAAAATCACGAGCTGATAATTCGTTTGCGCGTTGAAGTATCGCCTCCCTCCGCGTCCGAATGATATACGGTCTGACGGAAAGTAATAACGCTCCCTCGATCGCTATCCGTAAATCACGTTATTCGGCGGGGCCTAATCGTGTTCTACGATTCCTCTTCCTTTCGTCGAAGCGTCGGACGGTGACCGAGGATTAATTAATCGACGCCGAAACGGCCCTGCGAACGAGCGCGATAACGCGGCCGGCGCTCCTGGTTGCCCGGGCTGATTTAGGCGAACTCCGGCGCAAGTGTTAATATTAAAGACAGTATGTAAAACGGGTAATCCGATGTTTAAACGGTTTACACCCGTAACTCATAGTAATATATGGACACGGCCACGCGGACCTCGGAGCGCGACGAGATTTATAAGTACGAGTGTCATTGGAGTCATGCGTCAAGGGCCAGCCTTCCCTTTCCCCGTGTGCCACCTCTCTTCGACGTGCCGCGCCACACCGTTCCTTTCCGTTCCGATCCGTTCTTCTAAGTACTCCATTCCTTCCACCGAGAGGACCGAAAAGAACGACGAACCTTTCGACCATCTTCCCGCAGTGTCCACCGGACATCTTCTGCACGACTTCGAGGTATCGAAATGCCGATCTTCGGGACCCTACCTATACTCGAGCACGCTAATTCCCTTTAAGAAATGCACCCCTAATTTCTCTATCGAAAGATTCCTTTTCTTTTCGGGTCTCTCGCTCTTTGTACCTGCCTCTTACCGATTCTCCCGCTCGAAACGAACGTGTCGCAGTAGGATGCCGCTACCCGGACTAAGGTAATGGCACATTATGTGGCCAATGATTGCAGAGGTGCTCAAATCGACGTAGATAAACAAATAACGTGACGTATTTCGTAATCCGAAACAACGAGTTACCTAACGTTTATTCTTGACCGATCGATCTCGATAAACTCCCGGTCTCTCGAGCTGTTATTCGTCGACGAGCTCGAGGTCGCGCAAGCACGTGTGTTCTTCGAAAAGAGCCGCAAAGGCAAAAAAAGCTACGGGGACAATGATCGCCGGTGGGAGTTAAATCCGAAAGATTTATGACGCCAGTGTCGATGCAGTCACCGACGCGGCGGTGTCGTCCCGGCTTTCAGGAAGTTGCTGCAACTCCGGCCGCGCCTTTCTTTGCATTTCTGTAGGTACGTTGATCGTAGGACGTGCATCAAGATGCGCGTCTCGTTTCGCATGTACACCACGTAATGCGCAATTTCCAGAAAGAAGATAACATCGGTCCAGATCTCTGTTTCGTCAGGATCACAAGCGACAGTTGGAACCGAAATTTCGAGATTTTATCCGTATCATCCTCGCATTGTTCAGCGGAGGACGAGCGCGTCTCTCGTCTTCAGCAACCTTGCTCCTTATCTTCTCGAAGAAGAGAAACGTTTCGGTGAAGTGAACTTGCACGATCGATTTTATATCCGTTTCCACATAACTATGCTCGTGTTACAGATTCTGGTGAAGAGCAATCGATTGAAATTTATCATCCTACGGGTTAACAAAGAATCCCTGAGAGGACGGCCGGTGTTCAATCTGTAACAGCGATCGGTTCGCTTACTCTTAAGACTGAAAAAAATGGCTGGAGAAAGTCTATCGCGTACAGATCTCCGGACACTCGGTATACATATGTACAGTTCATTATTAAATTTAATTAGCCACAGGTTTAATCATTCTCACATAAAGTTAATTCGGCGTGTGAGTTCGCGACATTCCAAAGTATTTGATTAAGAAATCGCGACGTAACAGCAGGGCCGGTCCTAGGTAATAATTATAGGTATAAGTTCGCCGTTATCCAGCACCATTAAGGCGATACAGCGGCGCGTTCGGGTTACCCCCGTTGCTCTTCCCAGCAGATGTTTATCGTCGAATGCGTTTTCCAGCTAAGTGTCGGGGTTTCTAGCAGCGAAAATGAAAGATGGCCTTGGCATCTCGTCTTCCGGATGGGTAAACGTTACGTTCGCTCGTGTAAATCGTCGATGGCTCGAGTCTCGGGGGTGCGAGTGTCGCAAGCCCATTCGTGCACCGAACCGATATAACCGAAGTAACTTTTTGCGCGACATCGACGCGTCCCGGGAGGGATAGTTATCACGGCGGCGTGGCGTTGATATTATGCCTCGTAATCGCGTATCTCGAGAGCCATTGGAGCCGAGACGCGTTCGTTCGAGCTAGCTCGGTGCTGGCGTCGTCTAAAGTCGTCAGCAGGTGGTATAAATCACGCCAAGCTGGCTCGCGTGGTGCGCTGGTCGATCCGTTGATGCCTCGCGGTTGGTCCGACCGTTGTGCTGCGCTGCGGTACGCTCCCGTCATATTCGCCGAGCGGTACTATTGTCCCGATGCTGTCGGCGAGCCTGGTAGCACACCGTTCGAACAATCGTATCGATAACGAGCGACAATTATGGACCAGAGTTCTGCTGTTTGCAAAACGGCATCCAGCCAACAATAGAGCTTCCACTCGCCTCTGCTCCTTCGTCCTCTCTTCCTCGAGTTCCTGCTTCTTCTATCGCGACTCGGTCTTCCCTCCGCTCTAATTTTCTTATTAATCCAACCAGCCACCATTATCTACTCTATCTGTACAAGTTTTTTCCACTGTTCTCGGTTCATTTAAACGTCGTTCGATCGTATCGACGAAGAAGCTACTACTATATCTGTTGGAAACCTAACGCCAACCTTCCGGTGGATCAATGGACTTCAGTCATTGTCCTCTTCTCACGTCGTTGGACTAGCGTGGACGGAGGCTGTTGAAAATGGGCACACACCGTGCACCGACGACATAAATCATACACCCCATTACAGGGCTACTAGATCTTGGCACGGCGATAGGCTAGCTCGTCCTTCGTTCCACCAGCACGCGGCTCCCGTAGCTAGCTCTTTTTCTTCCTGGTGCCACGTTTCCGCCGTGTGTCGCCGCCCCGCGCCGTGTGGCTGCTGCTTCTTCGTTCTCGTTTCTGCGTCTCTCACCTCTACGTTAGCGAGAGATAAGACCGAGGAAAAGCATTGTTCGCGCGGTCGGTACTTTATGGGCTCCTATTTTGGTCACGGAAGATTCGTTACGGTACGTCGCGGCGACGCTAATCGATCGACGTATCGGGCGAAAGTTACGAGATATTATGTACCTCGTTTCGAGTTCAAGGGACTCGACGCGAAATAGCTGTCGGATGGGAAATAATTAAGCGCGGCCTTCTTCGGGTTCTTACCTCTATCGGTGGCGATGACTGGGACCTCGAGATAGGGAGAGGTTTCTCTGTCCAGAGGTGTTCTCACGCAGATATCCCCGGTGTCGCTGCGCACCATCAGCTGCTCGCTTTCAACTCTTCCAGCGGCCAGCGTGTAATTCACCATCGCGTTCACGCCGCAATCCGGGTCGGTCGCCTGTACCTGAAAGGGTCGAGATTTTCAAATTAATTGCGCGCCGTTAAGTAATTGCAGGGTGTCGCGACGAGTTGAATAAACAGGGACGTCAGCGAACCCGTGGGTATCGATTAACAACCAGAGATTCACGAGTGCGGAGGCCGGCCGAAAACGAGGCGCCGCGCAGCGCCGCTCCGCGCCGCGCCGTTCTAGGGTCCGAATCCTCGGCACGGGGCGATTTGTTTAATTTCGTTCAGCGTTCAGCTGAAACGGGATACCCGAGGATCGCCAGGAAGGTGGTCCATTCGTAATAGCGGACCCGGTGACTAATTTGCGAGTGGCCCGTTTGCTCCACCTCCCCACGAGAGGATAGGATCCAGCGACGTTATAACGACGAACGTGGAGGCGGTGATGGACGCCTCCGTGCTTCCAGCACTTGTTATTTATGCGACGACGTATCGCCACCTCTCATCCTCGATGGATTACAAGTTGCAACGTTTTTCGTTGCGTCGCTCACGAAAATACCCGAACATATTTTTTGGTAGGTCGCAACACGACCAACGCGACACCGCGCATTTTCAGAGGAGGTACGACGACAGGAGTTCTAAATACACTTAACTCGGTCCGTGACTTCCGCTCTACCGCTACGTCCACACTACGCGGCTGACCACAAGACGGACAATTCTACTCACACGTGTATATGTATACACGCGTAATACATAAAACTCGTATTTCGTCCAGGTGAAAAGTTGCTCTTGATCGTCGGACGAAACGTAAGGCAGACCTTTTTTATTTCCGTGGCAGCACGGTATCGGAAGTACTGCGTAACTAATAGATAACGATCGATCGATGGATCTGTAATTGGTGCCGCAATCGATCAAACGCGGGAGTAACGTGACGAGCAATCGGAATAGAGAGGGAGATAGAGATATATATAGAAGGAAGACTCGTAAATTTACCAGCTCGGCACGTAATTTGCGGGATAGTAGTCGTGTAGTGTGCCAATCGTCGGGAACTGGAAGCAGAAGAACTCGAAAGACGCGAGCCAGGGACGGTAATGAACCCTTTAACCCAGCCAGAGCTGCTTTAATGACAGTTTAAAGTTTCTTCTCGCGTTCGAGGTATCGCACCGGCCATCTAGCCGTGATCCGAACGTTCACCGGAGAAATCGTACCGATCGTGTTCACCCGGGAACTTGGAATCGCGGGATCCGATTGCGATCGATGATAAATTACTCGGTTACACGGCTCGTCGTACTCGTCGCTACCAATCGCGTCTAAAATTCTCAGACGGCGATTACGATGAGAATCGTAGGCGAGCCAAATTCTGCGAAACTCGGCGCAATTAGGGCTCTGTAACGTTCGAGAGTGGCAACAACACAGAACGCGGCAGTAACTGTTTCGCGACTTTTCCTTCGCGAACAACTACTCGGACGCAGTTGCCCGATTCGGTGCAGATACGTGCCTACCGAGAGAAACGAAAACGAAGAGAGGCGAGCTTCCATCGAGAAGAGCGAAGAAAAAGAAAAAGGAAGCAACGGAGGCTCCAGCCGTAAGGAAGAGAGACAGTAGATAATAAAGCAGGAGTCCACGAAGAATGATTTACGGGCGGCCGGTCGAATAACTTTCCCGCCAACACTGTTGCCACCTTGAAGAGGCATTGCATCTGCGGCTCGCTTGGTCCTAGCGTCTCGACGAGTAACACAAGGGACAAGATAAAGGTTAAAGTCTCTATAAACAAAAAAAAAAAAAGAAAAGAAAAACGTGTACAGGATTTCTTTTTCAAATCAAGCAAGGAATTTGTTACTAATTCCGAATCATGGAAAGGGGCAGGCGATAAAGAAGTAGGTTTGCTGTTGCTCGGAATTGTTGATTCGTTAATCCTGCGCATTAACTACCGTTTAATCTCTCGCTGGCGTCCACTATCGCGAAGACAACCAGTTTACGATTCGCGAACGATGTTATCGAGGCAACCTTTCAGTTCGTTGAATTATTAAACTCGACGCGTGATACGGTTAAATGTAGGCAGGTATCTTGTTACAAACACGCTGTTCACAATTTTCTTGGCTAATCCAATAACTCATGATCGTGCGCGACGATAGTTTCACTTTCTATCGACAGATTAATACTTATTCGTTTACTTTATGCCGTGGCAGTTTCACGGGCTCCTCGTGTCCAGTTCTCGACGCATCTGCATAATTTTCCAATTTAGATTTGCATTTCTAAATTGCATTCTCGCGCCTCTTATCTCTCGTCGGTTATCGTATAATTCCGAGTAGTCGCGAATCGTTCCTTTGTTGGCTTGGGTCGCGTACTCTTACTCTTTATCCTTCTTCTCGGAGCATTGTAAAAATGTTTGCATCCCGAACGTTACGAGAACGCCCCGTCCGTCGATTCGACGCGAATTTTGTCGAATCTTTCGCTGGCAGTCTAGGACGGAAACAAAAGAAAGAAAAAGCAAAGCAAAGACCGGAGATGGGAGGAACGTATTGCCCGGTTGCGGCAGGTTCACCGTAGCTGTATTAAATCGCGAGCAGTTTTACCTGTTATTCCGCTGCCCGGCGAATGTATACCACGCGGTGCATTGTTCCGCTGGTTTTGTTGCGCTCCGACCTTGCGGGGAATATCGATTTCAATCGGGGTGTATACGGAATACAATCCACCGTGGGTTTCCTTCGAAAAGACCGAGAGGGAGGAACAGAGAGGGGCACAAGAGAGATAGATAGATAGATAGAGAGAGAAAGAGAACAGCGCGGCGTGTAAGGATCTCTGAATACCAGAGCGCTCTCGAACCAAATGCCTCCGCGCCCTTTGCAGAGAGAACTCTGTGAATAACAGCTCGTGTTTTCAAAAACGTTTTACCACAAAGGCGCTCCATAAACGCGAAGGGATTCTATCGAATTTCCAATGAGATTCTTCTTTCCGATTTGCACGCAGCAAAACACATCGGTCCAACTTTTTATGTTCTGTTTTCCCATTAGTCGAGGCTTTTTAGAAACCATTCGGTATGTTTCCGCCTCTTCCGACGACCAATGGTAGCGGGTTTCGGTAGGCGGTGTACTCGTTGGCTACTGCGAGAGAGGTGAAGGAACAGCGTAAAGGTTGCCGTTGCTCCTTTTGCTCGTTTCTCTCGATTGCTCGTTCACCACGGGCCCCTCTCGACACCTTCATTTTCTTTCAACTTTCTTGAAACCTCCATCGCTGCCGATTTCTGCGCGCGGTTAGTCGCGCGACAGCGGCGTGCCGTTGCGACTGCGATCAAAGCCGCGAGACAACTCGCCCGTTACAGGTACAAATTGTCGGGCTGCTAAAGTTATCGCCGTAAATCGCGGATGACTCGGCGTACCGCATCTGGTATGTCGGGTTTTATTCGCCGCGCCGGGCCCGCGATGACGATACAGCTCGGCGCCGGCCGTACAAGCGATAGATGGCCCCGCAATTGACCATTCTTTCCGATGGGACGCGCTCGAACCCGTGGCTGTAATTGCGCGTGCGTTCCTTCTCGCGGCGACCTCTCGATGCATTTTTTGCGTTTTTCATTTCTTTCTCGCGGATTTTCGCGTATCGGAACGAACTAGCGAGTGGTCGAACGCAATACAAGAAATCGAGGGAATAATAGAGATGACTTTTCGAGGACGACGTAGATTCGCGACCGGAGAAAATGGTGGAAATCGAAAAAAAAAAAAACAAAGGGGAGGTTTCGCGCAAGCCATGGTAATTTTAGCTATCCCGATAAAAGATCGCGTGTACGAGGCAATTATTCTCGGAAGATAGGTATGAAGCTCCGTTCGTATAAAATCTATACTACATATAGATGCATGGCTCTTCAGCGCTTAAGAAGACCCCATTACGAGGTTATAATCGATCTCGCCCGTAATTGCTAGACCGGTTTCCAGCGTTCCGGATCGTGTGCTGCAGTTCGGTGTAGCTCGCCTGGAAGTTTCGTCGCGTTGCTCGGTACATGTACGTACTGAATGAGCTCTGTTCCGTTTCTACGTTCTTCGCGGTTTCGTAGTTAGAAATCGGTCGCGGTCAACGATCGACACGGGGGCAAAGTCGGCGCACGATACCGCGAAATCGCGATGCACTCGCCCCGGTTTGATTAATGCAAGCGATTCAACGAGTTAATAGCCCCGCCTTTCAGTATTTCCATCATACGGAAAAAATATTCGTTAATATTGTATGAAATTCCCTTGCATTAAGCTTACCGAAAGGCCTCGCATTCCCCGAGGTCAACGATGCCGCGCGCGCGAACCAGGTATTCGCCGTGTGTGTACACACTGCGCCGCGATCGTTGCCACGCTACGATATAACGATATTTCATACGATTATCCTTCACATCGTTGGGTTACTAAATCATCCACCAAAGGCAGTAGTATCTTCCTCCTGAGCGGTCGTATAATCCTCCGGAGCGATCCATAAAACCGTGGCGAACTGGAGCGCGATTGCCCTTAACAGCAGCGCGTCTTGCGTCCCTTCAAAACCGGCATGCCTGTCAAAGGTATCGCGCGATTTATTTCGCTTCCGACGCGAACGCCTCATTAGCGACCCGCTAAAACCCCGTTCGCTTCCTCTTTCGACTAATTAACGCGGATCGTACACCGTGCGTTTATTAACAAACGTCGGCGAAATTCCAACCGCCACGTGGTCCCTTTCGCGAAATCATTTCGCGATAAAACTACCACCACCCTTCTGGACGCGGGAGAGCGGAGTAGGTATCCGAGAGGATTTTTCTCCGTTGCCCGGGTCCTAACCCCCCGTCGTCCCGGGTGCTTTCCGTTGGTCGTGCGTGCGACCACGCGGGCCGCTGGTTTTTGCTCGCTCGAGCTCGACAGATAGAGCTGTTCGTCGAGTAAGCTCGGAAGCCATCCTCGGTATTCCCGGCTCGCCGACTCTCTGATGGACTGACAGTCGTCCACCGGTGCCACGAGTATTCCTCGCGATCCTTTCACTCCGCCGTCCTATCCGCGTTGCGTTCTTCTCGGTCTCGAGCCGGGAAGCGTTTCCTGTCCCCGTGTGGAGCGGCCG